GTGGGTAAGTGGATAATGATGATGTACATTAATGCGCTGGCGGAGCAGCCCACACATATTTAAAAAAAGTGCAGCCAGGTCTTTCGTCATTGTGCCCATTGGATATAAATCCGCCTCCAACGATTTCTTCTCCAAATAATTTACCTTATTTGAACAAAAACCATTAAATGCGTGCTGGCTTTCTAATACGCGACCTTCCGGGATAACAACTCCTAGTCTGTTCTTTTGAATAATAGCATTCGAACTGTGGTGCGCAAAATGACCTTTGCAGTCGACGCGCCCGAAAACACCAATGAACGAACGAACCTTCGAACTGTCTCGCATACATTTTTAACGTTTTCAAGTGTGCCATTTTACGAGCTTGAAGAGAATCTCGAGCGACAACGTCAATGTTGAATCATGTTGCGGACTGATTGGGTTATAGGTGAAAGCTTCTTCAGTGCTTTCGGTTGTTTCTATATGATACAACGTACCGGCTGGATTGACTGACAGGCAGTCAATCCAGTCGCTCTAGCAAAACCTGATATTCATCAGTCATACGAGCAGAGTCAAGACAAGACCACCAACAGCAGCGTCTGTTGGAAGTCAAGCGTGAAGCGTGGAATCAGAAGCGCTTATACCCTCGTTAGTAGTACAACAAATCGCAATGATGTCCTTCTATGGGCCTATGTTGCCGCCCCGCCTCATGACTCCAATGTTTAGATCATATTTTCAGGACAACAAAAACACTGCAGAAGCGAACAACGGGCTGAAAGTGGACTGCGACATAGACCAAAAAAAAAACAACAATGGACCACTACGTCATTTCACGAACTTGATATTGCATGAAAACGTCCATAGTGGCTCACAACGCTTATTGCATCCCACCCCTACCACAAGAGTTCACGCATTCGGCATCGCGTTGCTCTCCTTCTCTAGCATGTGCCTCTCACGCTTGTCAAGTCACCACTTCATTTCCAAAGTGCAAAGCTGACAAGAAGCTGGTTTATACTAGCAGCACACGTGGGAACTGATGCACACATGACCCCTGCCGCCTGCAGGTGCGGGTGGCGCCGCTCACCACCGCTTAACCACGACGCGAGATGTTCTCGTTTAGCTCTGGCAGCGCTGCATTGCCGAACATGCTGGAGAGCAATCACAGGGCTGTTCGAAAGCGTTTCGACAGTGTGCTGCAATGCCATCTTTTGCATCGTCGGCCTACAGATCTTATCCACGTGGCAAAAGTGCATCACATAAATGGCGCTGCTTCACACCGAATACCCACGGAGACTGAAAATGGTCATGACCACTTCCCGCTTTTTCTTGCCAAACAGAACAGCAGGCCGCGAGTTTCGCTTAGCTGCGTGGCGCGAACCATGCTACTTGGTGCGGTGACAGACCTACCCCTACCACCACCGCCACCCGGCGCGTCCACGCCGTCACGCAATTCTGCGTGACGCCTGGCCGACTAGCGCCTGCCCGCCGACACGTGGCGACACGTGACGTGGCGACACGTGGCGACACGTGACGACACGTGACTACACTGGGCGACACGTCGCCACCCATTCGGCCTCGTGAAGCCCGTGCCCTTGCCGGAGCGCGTCTGGAGACGCAGGCAGGTTGCCCGCGGTTGGGGCCGAACGCTCGGCGGCGCGTGCGTTTCCGCAGAAGCGGCCCAGCGGTGGCGGTCGGTTGTGACGTCAGAGTTGCTGCCGGGGAGACGGAGCGCTGAGTGTCGAGGCGGGGATGCTGAGTTTCGAGGCAAGGAAGTGCTGAGTGTCGAGAGAGGTGCTGTGAGGGGCGCTGGGGGTGTCGAGGCGAGGGGTGCTGGGTGTCGAGGCAAGGGGTGCTGAGTGTCGAGGGAAATGCTGGGTGTCAAGGTGAGGGGGCGCTGGGTGTCGAGTGAGGGGGCGCTGAGTGTCGAGGCGGGATGCTGAGTGTCGGGGGAGGTGCTGGGAGTCGAGGTGAGGGGGCGCTGGGGGTGTCGAGGCGACGGGGCGTGGGTGTTGAGGTGAGGGTGCGCTGGGTTTCGAGGCAAGGAGGTGCTGAATGTCGTGGGGCTGTGCTGCGTGTCGAGGTAAGGGGGGCTGAGTGTCGAGGCGAGGGGGTGCTGAGTGTCGAGGCGCACGCGGTGCTGAGTGTCGAGGCGAGGGGGTGCTGAGTGTAGAGAGAGGGCATATGCACATATACA